TGATTCTAGCATTGTAAGTCCGCAGACATACCGTTGTGCCACTGGGGGGGGAGGGTTAACTAATGAAAATATATATATATATATATTAAATAGAATACGGTTTTCTATGGATACAAGCTATCCATTTATTTTACCACTACAGAAGGAGCCTATATTCTTGTATTTTTTTACTACTGGGGTTTCAGGTTCTCGTGACAGAAAATCTTGAATAAAAGGAATTTAAAAGCAAATAAACAAGATTACGTTGCATTTAAAAAAAAACTATTAATTATTAAATGTTTTGAGTCTTCAAACATATCTACATTTTAAAGGATTTTTGAACCTCAATCATTGAAATTCAGAAATTCATCTTAATTACAAATAAATAAAATGACTGTGAACTCCAGAGAACCTTGCAGGTCTTTATAAAAGGAGAATCTAAACGTTGGTTTATGCTTCTTATGAAGGCGTAAAACCGAAAAGTTGAGCAAATAACCATTTGTAATTATGTGTACTTTGCTCCAATCAGTATTGCCTACGGTGGTTCTACGGCTTACAACTTTAAAATCCGGATTTCAATAATCGTGGTGGACATGGCACAGAAGCCCATTGTGTAGCTTTGTGCTTAACAATAAACAAAGAAACAAACAAAAACAGTCAGCATTACGTAAATCAAACAATGAAATTCACCTTGTTGGTTTTTTAGTTAAGGTGCAAAGATATATCGAGAGCAAATTTATAAAGTCAGTATTAGAACAGTGTATAGGGAACTTAATAAGTAGTATACGTTGTGTGAAAAAATAAATTATATATCATCAACAAAATAATATAGTCTGCTCAGATACATTTTGTTTTACACTCGATTAGCAAGAATATTGATAACAAAGTTTGAAAGCAACAAAATCCTCAAAATAGTGCAATTTGATTCATAAAAGTGTATGAAATTGTGTAATATAAAACTTTAGCGAAGATGAAAAATAGTTTAATTAAGGCGCCGCCCTCTTTACGCTCAATGTGCACATCATACCAAACATTGAAATTTTAGGGATGAATAATTCAGTGATAATTAATTATTATAATTACTATAATAATGGTTTCATTTAACACATGCCCATAAATATTTGTCCCCCGGTGGGACAGCGGTAAGTCTAAGGACCTATAACGCTAAAATCCGTGGTTCGATTACCGGCGGTAGACACAACAGATAGCCCAATGTGACATTATTTTTAAAAACCACAAGAAACAAACCATAAATATTCATGATGATTAGTTCAGGTGATAACGAAAAGAAACTACCATCGACAATCTCCACCTACCCAGACTCCTCGTGCGTAGGATTATGCATTTTGTGACGGAGTAACTGCTAAATACTATAAAGTAATAGCATGGAAAACGTCATTTAATAACACTTGTTTTCTGAGTATATTCTATTTAATAAAATTTATCTAAAAAGAACAAAACAAAATGTGGTTCACAGGCAGTAAAAAACAGTGGGAGAAAATTTTGTAGACTTTCGATTTTATAATTTAAATCTCTGTTATATTCAGTAACGTTACGCAACTCTTCATTTGATATCATGACTCTAGGTGTCGAGTGACACAACTCTTTATTTGATATTATGACTTTAGGTGTAGTGTGATATTTTTAAGTTACGCAACTCTTTATTTCGTGTCATGACTCCAGGTGTCATATAATATCTTTATGTGACACAACTCTTTACTTGATATTATGACTTTAGGTGTAGTGTGATATTTTTACGTTACGCAACTCTTTATTTCGTGTCATGACTCCAGATGTCATATAATATCTGTATGTGACACATCTCTTTATTTGATATTATGACTTTAGGTGTAGTGTGATATTTTTACGTTACGCCACTCTTTATTTCATGTCATGACTCCAGGTGTCATATAATATTTGTATGTGACACATCTCTTTATTTGATATTATGACTTTAGGTGTAGTGTGATATTTTTACGTTATGCAACTCTTTATTTCATGTCATGACTTTAGGTGTCGTATGATATTTTTTATGTGAATATTTATCTAATTATTTTGATTTTAAACCAGGTCAGTTTCCGTTCATGACTTACTTGGTGTTGAATAAAAATCACAGCGACCCGAAACGGCTAACCGATCAGTTAGAAGATAGCTTTTCAACATCAGAGAACCAAGAACAACTACAACATTTAGGTAAGTTGAAAAAGAAATGTAGCGGATTTAAAATAACATTAAAAAGTGGAGGGACATAGTTTTATTTAACTGTAGTTTAATTGTATTGATATTAATAACATCTCTAAGTCTACTTGTGGAAGTTAAATGCTTTTACTTTCAGGATTAAATAAGTTAACTATATCTAAAAAAACATCCATACAATTGTTATTAGATACTTTTACTATTTTTAAAGTTAATCTTAAGGCTTAACCGAAGGTGAGAGAAGTTAAGAGTGTGGTATAAATATATTTTTTACGCGTGTCAAAATTTGTGTCAGCAAGTGGACACTCCCCTTTGACCAAAAATCCTTAGTGGGTACATAAAGTTTATATTTTGTTTAGCACTGTGCTCATTAACTCTGCGTGTTACGCTTTGTGGACAGAAGGGTATTTAATGAACCAATGTGAAGAATTCATTACCAGTACTATTATTTTGTGTATGCATAAGGCTCTCATCCTGTAATTAGTTGCATTACCGTGTAAAGTGTCATCTCAGTATATCATAAAGGTAATAAAAAGTGTCATCTCAGTATATCATAAAGGTAATAAAAAAGTGTCATCTCAGTATATCATAAAGGTAATAAAAAGTGTCATCTCAGTATATCATAAAGGTAATAAAAAAGTGTCATCTCAGTATATCATAAAGGTAATAAAAAGTGTCATCTCAGTATATCATAAAGGTAATAAATGATAAGCTTTTTTCTTCTTTAATCATCAAAGTTTATGGAAAACAACCGGGAGGGAGGGATAACTTGGCATATTTTTCTGATATGAGGGTGTTTTAGTATATTTATGAAACTTCCTAATCATATACTAATGACTTCAAATTTTCAAAGTAACGTATTACTAATTTCGGTCCAACGTTACATGACATTTGATATATCTATTCCTGGAATCACAGTAATGTTTTCAGTTAACATAGTGTTCATAAATACACAGTACTCATTGTTTCTGTCATATATGATTTGTATGCATTCATTATGCCCTGAAAATTCCTAGGTAAGATTCATATTTTATCAATTTTAATGTAGAAAGCGAGAGTGCACATGAATTTATACTGTAAAACCATATATGACTGTGTCGAAAACTTGTTGCGTTAGACGAGTGTTGATGAAGTTTCGCGTTCAACCGCATCGTGCAAAACCGCTAAAATATTTACACATAGTCACGTACGTAACTATAAAGTCACGGCAACATGCAAGGACGAATGCAAACAAAACAAATTTGTCATGTATCCGGAAAATCCGAACAGTTGGCTACATGACGGCTGGATATATATAAAAAATCCGAACAGTTGGCTACATGACGGTTGCATACATAAAAAATCCGAACAGTTGGCTACATGACGGCTGGATATATAAAAAATCTGAACAGTTGGCTACATGACGGCTGGATATATAAAAAATCTGAACAGTTGGCTACATGGCGGTTGCATACATAAAAAATTCGAACAGTTGGCTACATGAAGGCTGCATATATAAAAAATCCAAACAGTTGGCTACATGACGGCTGGATTTATAAAAAATCCGAACATGACGGCTGCATATATAAAAAAAAATCCAAACAGTTGGCTACATGACGGCTGCATATATAAAAAAAAATCCAAACAGTTTGCTACATGATGGCTGCATATATAACAAATCCCAACATTTGGCTACACGACGACCGTGCACATAGAAAACCGGTGCAATCGGCTAGACGACGGCCGTGTACGTAGAAAATTGTTTTAATATAACATACTCAACCCTCTGAATATATATATTATTTGTACTTCAATTGTGTGTGGGGGAGGGGGGGAACACCAAAAGTTTAAAATGATTTAGTTGTCTCTATGGTAATACTCAGAGCATATATACTATTAATTGGAAGGTAAAAGACTTAGAACTAAATTGACACTGGCATTGTGATATTAATACATTTTCGACAAGTCTATTTCAATTATAGTTTTGTGCCATTATATCCCAACGTGACCTTTTTCGCTCCGTGGATAACGATCGATATGGTTGACAAAACCGTTTTGCAGATGGGTTCTTTTTTTTTTGTTTCTCCCATCTATTAAACTTGTGAAATACGACTCATACAAAACACAATAAACAAACTGTGACCACCAGAGACATTTACTCAGTTTGGTGCTTAATTAAAGTATGAATAAGTGACGCCTTCTACAAAACACAATAAACAAACTGTAACCACCAGAAACATTTACTCAGTTTGGTGCATAATCAAAGTATGAATAAGTAACGCCTTCTACAAAACACAATAAACAAACTGTAACCACCAGAAACATTTACTCAGTTTTGTGCTTAATCAAAGTATGAATAAGTGACGCCTTCTACAAAACACAATAAACAAACTGTAACCATCAGAGACATTTACTCAGTTTTGTGCTTAATTAAAGTATGAAAAAGTGACGCCTTCTACAAAACACAATAAACAAACTGTGACCATCAGAGACATTTACTCAGTTTTGTGCTTAATCAAAGTATGAATAAGTGACGCCTTCTACAAAACACAATAAACAAACTGTAACCACCAGAAACATTTACCCAGTTTGATGCTTAATTAAAGTATGAATAAGTGTTAATTAAATATTATTAACCAAGAATTTTCTTTGTTTAATTGTTTTATTTGTGCAAAGCATCACAATGGGCTATCAGCGCTCTGTCCACCGCAGGAAATCGAACCCCAGATTTTAGCGTTGTAAGTCCTTAAACTTACCGCTGTTCCACCGGGAGACCTCTTTCTTTAAGAAAAATAAATAAATTCGTGCATAGGTCAATTTTATTTAATAACGCAATTATGTATGCTTATAAAAGAACAGACAATAACTCCTTGACCAGAGAAAAATCGTTGTATATTTAATGTGTAGTACTTTAGGTAAACATACAGTTACAAACGGGTACCATGAACATTTTTTAACACGCTTGAAATTCTTTTAGTTCGTATTATGTAAATTATAAAGCTAACAAATTGAAGGTAACTACGAAAGGAACACGAAATTATTTAAATTAAAGGATCTGAGAACGACAAATTGAAAATGGAACAAAAAATTTCAAACGAAAAAGAAGCTAGTTAAACAAAAGGAAAAAGACAGATGAGCTAAGAAATGCATAAACAAAAACCTACATCAGATGAATACTACGTTATCAAGAACCACGATAATTGTTCATAATAGAAATCGCACAGGAATTTGCTCAGTCAAAATCAAAATTTTCCAATTTTTTCATATTGTTACTAATATTATTGTTTCACAAGCCTATAGTAAAATCGGCTGAGTATTTTGCATCAAAACCTAGACACATATGCTATATGAAATGCTGCGAATGTCCATGACCTATCTACAAAGTTGATTATGTTTCATTGAAAGTTATAAATACATAATAGATGTGATGTTATTCTGAGCGGCCGCTTTTGTACTCGACGCGTGTTAAACGCGCGTCTACAGGAAACCTCAAACACAAAGTCATTTGGCCCAGTAAATAATTACTTTAAAAGACATGAAGTTTTTTTTTTAAAGCGATTGTAGACGTATTTGTTTATTTGAAAAGGCTGCTTTTGTACTGGTAAAATTTTATACGTACTTAGCGGGGGTTGTGTCTTACTTTAGATATATATTTGCCCATTGCTGTACATTAACAAAGTCAACATACAAGATCATTAAAATTGAGAAATTAAAATCTACAAATAGGAATCACAAAATAAAGCAAACAAGGCTGGAGATCTACTGCTGACAGTTTGCTCAAGCTACAAATCCTTATTATGACTTCACCATAAAATTATTGCAAGTGATATCTAATATAGTGAAGGACTAAACAGGAATTTTGCAAACAACTGAGAGAGTAGTTTTAAACTTAATTCGATCTCCCTAATTTTGTCGTCCTGCGAAATTTGCTAAGTCCTTCACTTTCCGCCATCACAAAATCTGGTGTGTTCCTAGCGTGGGCATTAGTTGGAAACTATAACTCGTGCATTTTCTAGCACATTAATTGGAAACTGACAAGTGAAAGGTTCCCGATTTTGCTGTTGCATATCGTTACTCGAGCTGCTATTGTTCATTGTTACTCGAGTTTGCTGTCTCTATATGGATTTCTGCAACTATATTTCAGCAAGTTTTTAACAGTAGACGATTATCATATATATATATATTCCTACTCAGAAGACGGTGGTGATTCTTTCTACTGTTTCTTGTACTTAGCTGAAATATTGAATGTATGTTCAATATTTATTACCGCTGTATATGGCACCATTTCATATAGCTATTGCTATTTTTAAATAGTTGGTGTTAAGGTAGTGGTTGTAACTGTTGTTGATAATTGGTGACTTATACTTAGTGTGTCGTTGTTGTCCATTTTGCATGGATTATTTGTGTTGCCTTATTCTAGCAAACACTTGCGCACAGCAGGCTGTTGAAGAACATACATGTGTCATGTAGACTTACGTATGTTTACAGTGCATTAATCTGTGTTGTATTCTTTTGAAATAAACATTATTTCGTTCTGATGTGATTGTTTTGTTGCTGTTCGTCTTTTGTTACATTACACTGTGACATTGATGGAAGCCTGTCAGTAAATCTCTGATGATACAATCTTTGCCGCCAGGAGAGTCCTTTGAGAACAACTTTATATTTTGTCTGTTGTAGTTACATACGAATACATGTGTTTATTCGTTGTTGTACGTTTGTTATTTATTTTGAATAAGTTCAGTGTGGTGGTTGGGTGGAGAGAAACCAAACAAATGCAGCATTAAACTGTCGAAAAACATGTAACATTCAACTGAACGCATAGGCACGTATGTAGCTTAACATTTATTATTCATAAATGGACATAAAAACTTAAGAAACAAGATTAGTAAAAATTGTTAATTTAAAAAGGGGTAATAGGGATTGTCAAAAAAGTACAGAAACAAGTTGAATCAAAATGCAAATATTACATTTTCAAGCCCACAACCAGGGACTCTTTTTAAAAAAAAGTAAACAGAAAA